TTTTTTTTTGTTAATTTCTTTAAGAGATACAAAACCCATTTGAAAGACCTACATATCCAAATACGCATATAAACATACCCACATATATACACCCATATGTATAATTTCATCTTGTATAAGCCAATATGTTTCACATATATATATCACAAGTCCAAAAGAGGCCTTGATGAAAGAAAACATTCTTAGTCTTACAGTTACAGGATAAAGTTAAATGAAAAAAGGAACATACCAAACTTGCCGGAGGATGACAACTTTGGTCTGAAGTAGCCAAAAATCTAGTCCGAAAATCGTTGATCGAGTTCGTCATCTGGTTGCTGTTGTCTGAGAAGGGTCTGTCATTGGCCATGGAGAAGAAGTGGGTTTTGTTTGATGTATTTAGAAGTGGGTTTTATTAGAAGGTAACAAAGGGTAAAATAGTAAAATTATCATTTAAAGGTCAAATTTTGTTGTCTTGTTCTCCTTTTCCACCATTTTTGGGGGAAAAATAAATTGTGGGCGGGAAGGAAAAGCCTTCCCTCCAATTTTCCTTTCCATCACTCTTTCATTCCATACCAAACAATGGAAAGTTTTTCCATCCATCCCATTTTCCATCCACCCCATTTTCCATAAAAACAAACAGACCATAAGGGAATGCATTTCCCTTCCATTTTCCATTCCCTCCCATTTTTCCTCCATACCAAACAATGGAAAGATTTTCCTTCCCTCCCACTTCCCTTCCTCCATTTTTCATCCTCCCTATTTTCCCTCCAACCAAACAGGGGATTAGACTTAAGTATTACTCAGTTTTTGTAGTATCTCATGACACCTTTTCTATTAGGGTTTTCACCATTAGCTATAGTAGGTGACACACCTATAGGTTAGTCGAATTAATTTGTTGGGTCCTCTCCTAGCTTTTTTTCTTATTTGTCGTCTTTTTAGATCACGTGTTTCCAATGTGCTCCTCTAATTTAGGCAATCCCTTGATTGATTGTCTTATACTATTTCTGAGGGATAACTTGATCACCAATATGTTCCTGATGCCAGCTCAATGAATTATCTGCCTTTTCAGATCAGGCTTGCTCCTCACTCGAACTATAGCCTTTACTAGGTCTTTTTCTCTTTGCACATTGTACCGAGCCTCTGTCGAGCTTATCATGTTTGACTAAGCATAATTAATTGAGTTCGGTCATGAGTGATCTATTTAATTGTTTCAAGGACGTAACTCTGTCACTTGACTTAGTATGGTTGTCATATCATAGGTCAAAAGTTCTGACTCTCTTCACTAGCCCCCAGAGAATGTTCTCCACGTGGCACACGGGGGAAGCATTCCCTATTTGTAATCATATTTTTTTCATTAATGGCTTTGCATCAATCCCTTCAAAAGGCCATTTCTTGTGTCCTTTCAATAGTTTAACAGTCATTCGTATTAATAAGTCATCTTCGCTTTTAATTAAAGCGTCTTCTTCTTCACTTTTACATTTTCACCATAATTTTTGAAACCTTTAGGTACTCCACTCTTCTGAATTTCTAAGTCATTTCTTGTTCTTCTTCTTTGCTTCAATCCCTTCCGATATTCTTTTTTTTTTCTTTATGGCTCCATAAGGGAAGAGAAAATTCCAGATTTCAGGTCTAGATATTCTATTCCAGATGATGTAGTCATTAGGATCACAAAAAATAAACCCATAATTGCTTCTAGGAAATCAATTCCCATCCCCACTAGGACCATTATGAAGGGTGGGGCTCAGTTTCAACTCCACCCTTTTTTTCTATGGGTGCTTCATGCATTGAAGATTTACCCAATTCAATGTTGTTCCAATTTTTTCCAAATAGTAATAGGGGTCGTGGCTTTGAATGACATTCTAGGAACCAATCTGAGCCTTTGGAATATTGCTATCTCATTACAACCACTTCAAAAAAGAACTACTACCTTAGGGTTAGGAGAACAAATTTTTACTTAGTCACTCATCTTCTTGATTCAAATAAGGGCTATAAAAATGATGTCATGTTTATATTAGGTAACTAGGAACATCGAGTAGGCGAGGAACCTCGCTACAATTGTCTGTATTAAGAGGCTATCCTAGGTGATTTTCATTGNCTTAGGGTTAGGAGAACAAATTTTTACTTAGTCACTCATCTTCTTGATTCAAATAAGGGCTATAAAAATGATGTCATGTTTATATTTGGTAACTAGGAACATCGAGTAGGCGAGGAACCTCGCTACAATTGTCTGTATTAAGAGGCTATCCCGGGTGATTTTCATCGGGGCCCTATCCTGTTTTGCTTTTAGCTTCTATTTTTTCGTTTGATTCTTGCTTCCTCTAATGTCTAGATCTTTTTGTAAGAGAAACTTTTAAGCGAAAAGTTCTTGAATCCAAGGTGAACTTTGATGATCTAAGAAAGTTCTAGTTATTTAGGGCAAATAGTATATGGTGTCGAGCTGNAGTTCTTGAATCCAAGGTGAACTTTGATGATCTAAGAAAGTTCTAGTTATTTAGGGTAAATAATATATGGTGTTGAGCCGCTCACGTCTTATTGGGGTATGAGCTGACTTACCATTCCTATACTAATGTTCCTTCTATTACCTCTCAACTACTTAAAGGGTGCAGAGCTGCTCGAGCTTTGGAAGCACCATCATCTAATCCCCTAAGAAGCCCCAGAAGAAAAGGAATGGGAAGAGGAAGGGTTGCAACCAATTTCATTGATTTGGTCCTAAACCCCAATCCTGGGGAAGCCTTGGGCTTTGGAGCAATACCAGAGGCTACTCCAATTTTGAATTCTTTTGTTGAAACTTTGGGCTCCGAGCTCACCCCCTATTTTAACAATTCTGGGAGAAATCCCAAAAAAAATAGTTATTGTACCTTCCCTTGAGTAAGTTGAGCTACAAGAGCCTAAGGACTATGTTGATGACTCTACTTTTATAATTGAACTTGTTTGGAGAAAACATGTTACAAGAAAAGAAAGATGTCGGTTGGTACCCCTGCTGTTGAGAGGGAATTGGAAAATATGTAGGGGGTCCCTCTCTGGTAGCAGCAACTAAAAGCTAGATGGAGGGATATTCATGCTAGCAATTCATTCATAGAAGACTTAGATGTGGCTGTTGGTGTTGCTAGAGCAATTATTCTTCTACTTGATCTTCAAAGGAGATACATTACGGATGACACATTCTTCAATTAAGACTAGAAAGATCCATTAATTATTTCTTCTTTTTGCCATGATTAATTTGATTAATGTTCATTAAATCAGACATTTCAAAGTCCAAGCCTTCTAAATTATGGAATGCTCCAAGATGCATTTCCATGTCCTCATTGTCATTAAAATCCATTGGATCCTGGGAATCATCCTGATCATCTTCTTTAATTTTCTTTTCTTTAGATGAAGAAGAGTGAAATTGATGTCTTGCTGGTCCAGCTGTGATTTGAGGAATTTGTGGCTTATTATCCCCCTTAGAAGATGCAATTAACTGATTTTGCATCATTTCCATCATATGACTCTTAAGCTTTTGTGTAGTCAATGCTAGATTCAATTTCTTTATTTGTTCTTGGAGAACCTGGAAAAAATTTTGAATAGGATTCAAATTTGTTGGAACATGTTGGGATTCATTTTTCCAATTTTCAAAAGCAGTGTTAATTTCTTGANCATTCATAGAAGACTTAGATGTGGCTGTTGGTGTTGCTAGAGCAATTATTCTTCTGCTTGATCTTCAAAGGAGATACATTACGGATGACACATTCTTCAATTAAGACTGGAAAGATCCATTAATTATTTCTTCTTTTTGCCATGATTAATTTGATTAATGTTCATTAAATCAGACATTTCAAAGTCCAAGCCTTCTAAATTATGGAATGCTCCAAGATGCATTTCCATGTCCTCATTGTCATTAAAATCCATTGGATCCTGGGAATCATCCTGATCATCTTCTTTAATTTTCTTTTCTTTAGATGAAGAAGAGTGAAATTGATGTCTTGCTGGTCCAGCTGTGATTTGAGGAATTTGTGGCTTATTATCCCCCTTAGAAGATGCAATTAACTGATTTTGCATCATTTCCATCATATGACTCTTAAGCTTTTGTGTAGTCAATGCTAGATTCAATTTCTTTATTTGTTCTTGGAGAACCTGGAAAAAATTTTGAATAGGATTCAAATTTGTTGGAACATGTTGGGATTCATTTTTCCAATTTTCAAAAGCAGTGTTAATTTCTTGACATTTTTTTTTCAATTGATCTTGTAGAAGGTTTTTCCACCATTTATAATAATAACATCGAATTAAACATGGAATATTGTAGAAATCATAATTACAATCATAAGTCCATTCCAAACTCAGTGAATCTCGAATCTAGCAAGATAATTAAGGAGCATTTGTCGTTCACCATTTCTCAATTAAGGATTGAGTTTTTTGAATTTATCATGATGAGAAACAGGAAAGTCAACCAAATATTGAGAAGTTGGTCCATGTCTTTTCATCCATTTGTGAAACCAATTTGGCAGGTTCTTAATGGTATAATTATTCTGTAAGGAGAAGAAGAAGAACCAAAAATGTTTTCTGATTGTATTTTGATAAAGGAATGCATTCTCCCATGCATCCATATAATCCCAATAATTATATTCTTCTCCTAGTCCATGTTTGGTTTTCAAATTTCAGAAATTGATGGGGTTTGTTCCCTAATCAGAAGTGTGTATGACACACATAATTCTTACTTTATCATAACCAGTATAATGATCCTCATTGAGAACATTATGAGCGACTTTGATTGATTTGGTTTCATATAGAATCTTTTCATAATAAATTCGATTACGATACTTTTTTCCTTTAATAAGGAACTGATCATGGTCAAAAATATGTTTTACTAAGTAGAAATGATCTTTCATTCATTAAACCTGTGTACTTTTCAGGTATAAAATAATATTAGTATAAGGATTTTCAAAATAATCAACCATTAGATCGGGTTTTTCTAAGAGACCCTCCTAGGCAGACTTCTTCCATTTAGTAGAAGTCCATTTTTGATTGTTAGGCGTTGCCCGTGAAGAAGAAGCATTAGAGCCAAATTGAGCTAAACTCAGCGTTGGAAATGGTTTATTACAAAGAGGACAATTCCCCTTCCTTTGGATTTAGATTGGGAACTATTAGTTCCTCTGCCTCATCCTCTTTTGGCACTCATTGGAGCCTTGCAAAATTTCCCTTGTTAGGAAGTCAAGAAGAGAATTTAATTCATCTTTGTTATACTCAATCTTGAAATCATAAATAGAAAGGATGGCTTGACACCTTTCAAATAATTGTTTTGATATTAAATTCTTGACATCTTTTTCTAAAACTTTTTTTGCGACACTACAATCAATTCTTAATAATTTTTTTTTAAATTTTATAATTTCTCTTGGCACTTATTAATACATTTAACAACATAAAGAATATCTTTCTTTATTGTAGAATAAGTTAATTGGGCATTTTTCCAAACACCATAATGAAAATCGTACAAATTCTTCGCAATTGGAATGAGGATTCTTTTGTTTAAGAAGTACTCCATAACCTTTATTAGAGGCATCAGTTTCAACAATTTTTTCCGGATTTTACTTGAGAATATTATGTCCAATAAAAAATAATATTTGTTTGTAAAAGTTTCATTTTTGTGGCTGAAACCACTAATCCATTTCTTTTTACCACTTGAATAAAAATATTCAAATGTCTAAAATGTTGATCAATGGATTTCGAAAAGATAAGAAGATCATCAATATAGACGATAGAAAAAGCAGTATAAGGAGTGAATATCTCATTCATGCTATTTTGAAACTTGGATGGAGCATTTTTCAATCCAAACGACATAATATTTCATTCATAATATCCAAAATGAATTGTGAATGCAGTCTTATATTGATCAATTTCTGCAATTTGAATTTGCCAAAATTTAGATTATAAATCAAATTTAGAAAAGATTATAACATCATGTATTTGAGCTAATAAATCTTTTTTATTTGGAATTGGATATCTTATCCATTGTAAAACCTTCTTTAAGGGTTTGTAATTAATAACAAGATGAGGTATTCCCTTTTTTTTTTAAGTATTTTTATTTACATAAAAACTTGCACTATTCCAAGGAGAATGTCTCTTTCTGATTGAAGATTTTTACAATAACTATTGGATCTCTTATTTATAGAGTTCCAAATAATTTTTATTAATTTGAGTTAGTCTTGCATTAGTGGGAATATTTTTCTCATTAAAGTCTTTTTCATAATGCAAGAAATACAATATGCTTTTTCCTTTCCCAAAATGCATTAGGAACGATGCTGTATATTTCAAGAAACAATTTGTTCTTATAAATTTTTTAGATTATCCTGAAATTTAAGATTTTCTAATTGATTTGCAATAGTCTTAATTTTGACTTCTTGCTGAATAAAATTAATTTATTTTTCTTTGAAAATGAAATTTTATTTGATTTGATTCAAAATCTTTGTTTTTTGTTTAGTAATAAACTCAAAAATAATTTACTAATTATTTAGAAAAGCAATGGTTAATTTAGAATCAATTGTAATTGGTTCAATAAAAGCAAAAAACAGAGTACCCAAAATTACATTCTGATTTAGATTTTTAATTAGAATAAAAGACGTGGAAATACACGTCACTCAAGTGTAGATATAAACATTAGTTAATTTATATCTGATGTTCATTTTTGAACTATCACTAGTATTCCAAGTTTGAGTAGTTTTTTCAAAAATATTGAGTAAGAATCAATCCTTCTTTAATGCAATGCATATAAGCATTACTATCAAGTAGTGCAATAGTTTTGATAACATATTCTTGGTTGATTACCAATGTAATTTCAATATGCCATTTTTGGTATGTAATTTGGTCATGAGGAATTCTCCTGAAATTTATGGATCTTCAGTTTGAGATTGTGCAGAATTCTCAAGAGAAGATATTCTTCTTTTAAGATCTCTATTTTCAGATTTTAATTGATTGATCTCGTACTTACGATCATTAATTGTGGTCTCTTTCTTTGAAGAAGATACACAATTAAATTGATTTAAAATATCTTGTAAAGAAAATGNTTTTCAGATTTTAATTGATTGATCTCGTACTTACGATCATTAATTGTGGTCTCTTTCTTTGAAGAAGATACACAATTAAATTGATTTAAAATATCTTGTAAAGAAAATGGTTTAATCAAAGAATACTTTTCAAATTTTCTTTTTGATTGTTTCTCTTTAGAAATTTCTAAATATTTTTCAATAACTTGTCTTTTAGCTTTTGGATCTGTAATTTGATCAATTAGATCAAAAATCAATGATTGATTTTTTGAAAGAACATTTATGCTTAATCCATTCGTGTCAAGAATAGCCTTATAATAGTTTTGTTGTGCCTTCTTTTGAAAAGATTTTCTTTATATAAAAATAAACATTGTCCGCATAATTTCTCTTTTTCTTTCTCCTACTAAATTTGGAGTATTTTTTTAATCTTTCTAGACTTAATTTTTGTATAAGGACTTGGATCAAGATGATAAGAAAATTATCACAAAATTCACTTAACTTTTTTCTTCTTATTACGTGTTGTCTTTTAAGTTGGATTTTAAGGTTAAGATCATTGTATAAAGTCAAACCTTCATTGTTGCATTCGCTGACTAATTCACCATAGGTGTATTAATTCCAAGGAATAATCATTCCTCCATTTTTATTTCTAAATCTTATTCTCACTTTGTCCGCAAACAAATAAGGAAGACTTGAAATGAATTTTTCTTTTCAAAAGTTACTATTAGCATCATATCTCATCATGACTTTGGAGAGATAGATGCCCTTATACCACTTAAAATGAGTAAGTGTAGGAAACCTAAGATCCATGAGGAGTTCTTTACTTTTATCGGTATTTTGAATATTACTTCCAATAAAATGCAGAATTATTGATTGGACCAGTGTCTAAACTGCATTCAAGACATATTCTTGTTTGAAACAATTTGTTCATCCTAAATTGAAACAATTTTTGTTGAATTTATAATTTCTTGTTGCTGAGATGAATATAAACAATTATCCCACCAACCTTCAAGTTGTCCTATAAATCCTGTGACAATAAAATTTGTAACTTAAACATCATTATTTCCATTTTATCAACACACAATACCATTACTCCCTCCAATTTAGAAGATTTTTTGGAGCATGACACCTAATTGCCTGAGGGATGGCTACCTCAAGTTGGACTCGCGACCAACCAAGGGATTCTTCGCCAAATCGGAAAACATCCAACCTGTGAGTTTGGCCCATTGTGATGATCACTAGGAGGAGGCTACTCATTCTTCCTAGCATGGGAGTAGGTCACTGCAAGGAGCTATTCGACTAATAATCAGAGTCGAAGCAAGCACTCACCAAGACACAGTATTTCCTACCGCATGCAAAGGTTTAGTCTATTTCTCCTCCAGTCAACCTCTACAGTTGCCCTTTAGGCTACTTCACCTTCATGCAACCTCTAAGGTTACCCTTTAGGGCCTGTTTGTTTGAGGTATAAGATTCAGATGGAATAAGATTTTATATCCATTCCACTCCAATCCAATGGTATATTATACCCAGTCTTCAACTATAATCTCATCATTTCCCTTGTTTGCTTGTCACAAATAATACCTACTTAAAAAAGTCAAAAATTACAACTACTCAATGTAAANCCATGTTTGGTTTTCAAATTTCAGAAATTGATGGGGTTTGTTCCCTAATCAGAAGTGTGTATGACACACATAATTCTTACTTTATCATAACCAGTATAATGATCCTCATTGAGAACATTATGAGCGACTTTGATTGATTTGGTTTCATATAGAATCTTTTCATAATAAATTCGATTACGNAATGATCCTCATTGAGAACATTATGAGCGACTTTGATTGATTTGGTTTCATATAGAATCTTTTCATAATAAATTCGATTACGATACTTTTTTCCTTTAATAAGGAACTGATCATGGTCAAAAATATGTTTTACTAAGTAGAAATGATCTTTCATTCATTAAACCTGTGTACTTTTCAGGTATAAAATAATATTAGTATAAGGATTTTCAAAATAATCAACCATTAGATCGAGTTTTTCTAAGAGACCCTCCTAGGCAGACTTCTTCCATTTAGTAGAAGTCCATTTTTGATTGTTAGGCGTTGCCCGTGAAGAAGAAGCATTAGAGCCAAATTGAGCTAAACTCAGCGTTGGAAATGGTTTATTACAAAGAGNTCCATTTAGTAGAAGTCCATTTTTGATTGTTAGGCGTTGCCCGTGAAGAAGAAGCATTAGAGCAAAATTGATCTAAACTCAGCGTTGAAAATGGTATATTACAAAGAGGGACA